GTTCCTTACAATTGGTAAAACCAGCTCCAGCAACACTTCTTTTGAAGTATTCCAAGGCTACAAGGAGAAGTATAAAAGAGCACGAAATTTACAGCAAGAAGCACCTAGCTCAAGTCAGCCACTTATGGGGATGCTTGCCCTTGGGTAAGTTCTTTCATCCTCTCTCAGTTTCAGTTCTTTTATCTGTAAAATGGGGATAAAAATATCTAGCTCTTATCAAGAGCTCTTTTTAAAGTCTAAGGTTTTATGCAAATGTTAGTTCTTATTTTGAACCCATTGAGCAAGGATGCTAGATGTCCCTCAAATGACAGATTGAACACAAAGTGTCATTAATTGGAGTTTCAAGATGTGAACGAGGCTCTCTGATGTGCGAGTGCTCTGTGGGTCTTTCTTCAGCTGTCTTAGACCCTTTTTACAGAAAAGGACAAGGGAAAGGAGTTACCATTCTAACATTCTAGCAAAGGCAGAGCTCACCTCTCTCCCATTCCTGGCAGGGCCCATCCACCCATCTTGTTTGGAACATTCCCACCAAGCGTGCTGCCCCACGTGGCATTCCATTCTGTTAGAAAATTCTATGTTGATGAAATGTGGACAGATAATGTTTGGAAGATAAATGAGCAACATTTGTGAAAGTATTTGAACTCTTCAAAGAAAAAGACCCATACTGATTCCAGGGATTTTTGTTAAGATAATCGGAATTCTCAATATGATATTTTGGTTGATTGATGTCTGTTCTGATTTTTTTGTCTCTCAGCCTTGGAGGAGCTGAGAGAAAGGGTGCACAGACTTCATTTCTTTAAAGATTAATAGAAATAAGTAAAGCACACAGCAGAGGTCAATGTCTAAATGTGGCAACCCATCAACCATCACTATGTGGTACCGCCACGCTCCCTACGAGCATCCCCAATCTCCACTCAGGTGGGTTCAGCCTTTGCAGAGCCCAGCACTCTGTGAACACACACACACCCAAATTGGGCCCATCTGTTATGGCCTGAAGCCCTAGGATAAGACTCAACCAACCAACCATGTGCTAGGAGCTGTGCAATCTGCTGAGGACACAAAATGAATGGCCTGGGGGGCAAACAGACGCAAAAACAATTGACTACAGTTCAGTGATAAGAACTCTGCTAGAGATGTGAGCCCTCACAAAGGAGGGGGCCTCAGGGCTCCCTAAGAGAGTTAGGGGCATCTTCACAAAGAAGGTGACACTAAAACTGAATCTGGAAGAACAATGGCAATTCCAACGAAGGGAGAAGGATGCCCAAAGTCCTGGAGGTAGGGAGAAGCAGGAAGGGGTGTACAGGTAAGAAGAGCAGGGAAGCCTGGCTCAGAAGAAATGTGGGGATGCACAGCCAGTGATGCAGCCTGAGAGAGAAGGGAGGGACTAACTCACAAAGACTCTTTACGCCAAGAGAGGAGGCTGGACTTCAATAGAAGGTGAGAGAGCTAATGAAAGATGTGGAAAGGAGGTGATGCTAAGAAGATGAGTGACGAGGTAAATATCAAGATGAGAGAGAAATTGAGGACAAGGAGAGCCAAGGCTGAGGCACAAACTGAATGTTCCTTCAACAGGTACCAGTGACGGGAACAACATAACCCCCTTTTTTTTTTTTTTTTTTAAAGATTTTATTTTTTTCCTTTTTCTCCCCAAAGCCCCCCCGGTACATAGTTGTATATTCTTCGTTGTGGGTCCTTCTAGTTGTGGCATGTGGGACGCTGCCTCAGCGTGGTCTGATGAGCAGTGCCATGTCCGCGCCCAGGATTCGAACTAACGAAACACTGGGCCGCCTGCAGCGGAGCGCGCAAACCCAACCACTCAGCCACAGGGCCAGCCCCCAAAATAACCCCTTTTTAAGCTAACATCAATCTTAGATGTTGCTTCACCATCAAAGGCAGAGCAACTGTTTCCAAAAGACACCTCTGAAGGCTCAGAAAGCACTTGGTTATTGCTTTGAGGAAAGGCAAACTGAACACGTCCCTGTGGCCCTAACAGTAGTCATGACTAAACTGATAAGTTGATAAGTCAAAGGAGATAACAGGCCCCTTCGGTTTTGTCAGATAACTCAAATATTATGTTAAACCAATAAATATATTAAGAGACTTGAAGGTCAACTGACGTACAGGAGTTCAACAGATAGTGACAACGATCTTCTTGTCTTAAATTTTCTCTAGTCTTCATAACGTTTCACATTTGGAACTAATCCTGAAGAATCATATTTCTTTTTTTTTCCCAACTTTACTGAGATATAATTGACATATAACATTGTGTAAGTTTAAGATGTACAGTGTGATGATTTGATATGTGTGTATATTGAGAAATGTTTACCATATCAGTTAATGCATCCTTCACCTCACGTAATTATCATTTTGTTGTTGTTATGTCGAGAAGATTAAAGCTCTACTGCCAGCAACTTTCAAATACACAACACAGTGTTGTTAACTAGAGTTACCGTGCTGTACGTTACACCTTCCAAACTTATTAGAATCATATTTCTACTAACTAAAAGTAATGATTCAAGGCTTAAGAGGGGAGAAAACAGAACAGGAGAAAAGCCTGAGGAAGGTGGCTAGGAAAGGAATAAGTTCTCTAGGATCAGAGGTTCTGCCTTACAGAAAAATAACTAACTAGAGATTTCCTTGGATGGATGGAAAGTTAAAGAAATTGTAGAATAGTAGGAAATATACTGTTTACCTACAAAAGAACTGGCACTGCAGCATGTTCACGTCTCTAAGAGATGGTTTTAAATCTCGTCTGAGCACATGCAATGATTGTAGGTTATTCCGATTTCAATGAGCAAAGGCCCCTTACTAAGGGGAGGAGAGAAGACCCAAGTGTAGAACATTGGTTAGAATAAGGAGAAACAGTAGGAACTATGCATTTAGATCACAACAGTGAAGGTTCTCGCAGTAAGGGAAAGCACACATTAGTCTACCAGTTTGGAGAAAAAGGAAGTGAAGTCCTAAAATTTTCAAGTTACTCTTCCAAAACTGAGAATAATAACTTAGTTCCAGGAAACTGATTTCATTATTTCAGTGAACCAGATCAGAAAAATCATGATTCAAATTTTCTAGTTCTGTCTAAATTTTCTAACTTACCACTTGGTTGGTCAAGCATTAAGTCTTGGGAGCTGGAATCCTTGAAGTCTTGCATCCATGCCCTCATCAATTTGACCTAAGACTCTACTAAACTGGTTTTAATATTAGAACAAGACTAAGGGAAGTTGCCACTTTGTAAAAAATAGGATTATTCTGATTTCATCACCAGCCTCACAGTTTTCCAAGTATATGTCCAAGACATAATCAAGATGCCAAAGTATGAAATATAGCTAGTTTCATAACCAGAATGAATTATGGCTAATTCTCCTGTAGTAAACAATCGGATTTTCAGATCTGTATTCCTCAGAGAGCTGAGTCGGGACTTGTTTTTCAAGTGATTCATTTAAATAAGAGCATCCCAGTGGCCTTTACGGTGCAGGGGCGGGATGCAGAGCCCTTCTCCTAAGAAGCTGGGCGTAGAGGCCCGAGGGCAAAGGTCTTAGGAGAGGGTGAAGCTGCTTCTAAGAAGAAAACGTAATACTTGCTCCTTTTTTTATTCTGGAATTCAAATGTTCTGCACTTTGAAGTAGAATGAATGTTCTCTAATTTTTCAGTCTGAAAATCTTCTAACCTGGAACTACCCCTTGTCCTTGGAGCTGCCAATTCCTAAGCTTTTCTCTGCTGGCCCTGCACGTTGCACGGACCATCCAATCATTCCTAGTGTCGCTTCTAACACTCCTGCCCCAACTCACGCAATCCTGTCATGACTTTATCTTGGCTTTATAACCTGCCACTTTTCCAGGTGGTTTTTGTTTGGTTTGGTTTGGTTTGGGGTTATTTTGTGTGTTTTCGATTTTTGTTTGTTTCTCTGTAAGAGGTAGGCAACCTCTTTGGACAACCATAAAGACTTCCTTGCCTCCTTGCTTTTCTCTTACAAGCTCCAGAGACAAGATAGACTTGCCAAACTGATCCTTAGACATAACCTAATTCTTAATACACAGTGACATTTTCCTATGTCAGTAAAGGCGATCTCTGTGACAGTTACAGATCACTAGAGCCTTGCTTCTCTAACCTGAATTAAGGTTAAAAAAAAAAATGTTTAACAAGCCTAAGTAAGAATTCCAGGAGGGGCCGGTCCCGTGGCCGAGTGGTTAAGTTCTGCACGCTCCACTTTGGTGGCCTGGTTTCACAAGTTTGGATCGCAGGTGGGCACCCACACCACTCATTGGCCATGCTGTGGCAGTGACCTACATATAAAGTGGAGGAAGATCGGCACAGATGTTAGCTCAGTGCTAATCTTCCTCAAGCAAAAGAAAAAAGAGAGAGAAAGATTGGCAACAGATGTTAGCTCACGGCTAATCTTCCTCACCAAAAAAAGTAAAAAAAAGAAAAAAAAAAGAATTCCAGGAAAGAAGAAAAGACCAACTAAGTTCTATGTAAATAAAAAAGAAAACAAAGTAAGATCGTCCTCTGAGTAAAACAGAACTTATCATTAAGACCTACATACTTTACTGCAACAACGATTTAAAATCAATGGAAGGACCTAATTCTCAAATGGTAGGGTAAGAAGAGTGCTAATCATGCTCTGAGTTCCAACAAACAGCTACCAGACAACTACGAAGTGGCAAGCCCTGGGCTGGACCCTGGGCCACTGAGATAAAAGACAGAAAAAGTAACAGAGAACTCAGAGGCCAGCAATGGTGTGGACACAATATAACACATGTGTGTGGCAGAGGGAAGCTCAGAGTGAGTGTGTGGGGAGAGCACAAGGGAAGCCATCCTTTCACAAGAATCACTTGGATCATATGACTAAGCTGGACACACTGGAATGGGCACTGAATAAGCGCAAAACACTAACCCAAATTGTGACTAACACGTCCTCAATGTCTTAGAAACCATTTGCGGGTGTGCGTCTGTCAACGTGTCTTTTATTTATTTCCTCACTCACTGCTGGTTCTTTGCAGAACACCCTGGCCAAAGCCACCGTAAATGAACTGGCCAGCCTGTATGGCACCAAGTACACGTACGGCCCAGGAGCCTCGACAATCTGTGAGTCTGCCCTTCAGAACCGTGCAAAGAAAGCCCAGGTTTCTGCCCAGGTCTGAAAGGATTAGAAATACTAGAAGAAAGGCCCAGTCTTGTCATCAAGGGGCCTCCAATGCGGTCGGAGAGGCTCCAATCCTGAGGGTGTTTTTAAAACTTTATGTAGAATATGTTTTTCTGTATTCTTTCCCTTTTTCAAACTGCTCTGAATCAGATGGAGTATAATCTTTTCTCAAGGGGGTTCTAGCAGAAACAACCCACCTATTCGTACTTTTGAACCTCGTGTATGTTTTCTTCAGACTAGCTCAATGAGGTTTCTTCTCCATGATACCGTAAGCCCTCGGAGGGCAGGAGCCACGTCTTTCCTTTGTCCTGACAGCTCCAGAGTTGAGCCCATGGCCTGCTGCTCAGTCGGGGCTGTGCCGTCCATGAATGAATGAATGAACACATGAATGAATAGGGGAATACGTAATCTGTGTGGCAGTGACATCCTAACTGTTAGTGGATGAATAACTGAATAAATCCCTAGTCTCCGCCAGGCCAAATGCTGGACGCTGAGAAACAAAGATAAGGCACAGCGCCGCCCTCAGGCTGCTCCCACTCCATCACTCAGCACAGTCCCGCAGGGTTTGGAGTCCTCCCCTCTCGCCAATGAACAGGCAGCTTTCCTTATTTTCCTAGGAGACACACCTTCTTTTCCCGGGAAATCATATATATTTTATAAACGAATTACCACCGTGTAGCGTAGTTTACCATGGCACACAAGCACGCTGAGAAGTTTCTATATCACAAAGTACATACTTCCTGGGGCATTAAACACGTCACTCCCAGGAAGCAAGCTTAGAGGTAAGACTGCACTAACTTTGTAAAATAGCCCCCATATCTCTTATGATCCAGTTTACTAGACTACTGACCTACTCATATTATTTTGTACAGTGAAACATTTATAATTATAAAAGGAAGCTGGCATTTTTTTTAACCTCCTTCCTAGGTTTAAGATTTTTTTTTTCTGCTGCTCGCACATTTCAGATCCTGCCGCTGGCGGCTCCGATGACTGGGCTTACGACCAAGGAATCAAATACTCCTTCACCTTTGAACTCCGGGACACAGGCAGATATGGCTTTGCGCTCCCTGAATCCCAGATCCGGGCAACCTGCGAGGAGACGCTGCGGGCCGTCAAATACGTGGCCAGCTACGTCCTGGAGCATCTGTACTAGTGGAGAACTCCCCGAGCCGTATTTCAAAATGCTCTCTCTTTGTTTCGTTTCTGTGCTGAGTTCTTATTTTGGTTTGCCTGGATGTTTTCCAGATCCCAATCTTTCTCTGAAGCTTCTGGGTCTATTAAACTACTTGCATCTTTTAATACTGACCATAATAAGAGTGAATCACTATAATTGAAAAACGTGACAGACTGCTTCTCTGGGAGGAAAGTGATGTGAACAGATGACTAAGCAAGCTGTGCACAGGCGGTGATGTGGGTCAGCCGTAGAGGAGTTAGAGTCCCCGGGGCGTCGGCCCACACTGGCAGCGTGCAGACACGCGCGGGTTACAGGGGGGCGGCTTGTGAAGGAGAACCATGGGGGAACTCAGGATGGTAGAAAGTGTGCAGGTGAAAAGACTCCACCTCAGCTGAGTTCCGTCTCAGCTCCTTCAGGTTACTGCATTAGCCATCCGCCACGTGCCAAGCAGCGGGCTCAGCGAGCGAGGACAGAGCAACAACAAAGAAAAATACCATTTCTGCTCTCGAGGGTGGTACAGCCATTTGGGAAGACAGTCATGAAGTAATTATTTAATAATTAGTGATTTAATTTATATCAAGCAAATAAGTGCCAGGCAGTCTACATAAAAGGAACGTATAAAAGGTCTCCCTCTCTGGCATAGGGGAGAAGGCTGTCTCAGGCAGTGCGGAAATGTGAAGAATGAGTCACAACCAGCTGGACCAAGGGAGCACCCCTACCGGGCCCTGTGGCTATTCAGAAGCCGTGAGAAGAAAGCCAGAGAGGGTGGAACTTGGAGAGTCGAGGGAAGGGGGAGGTGTGGCGGCTGAGGAGGGAGATAGAGACCATATCAGGCAGAGCTCAGAGGTCCCGTTAACGATTTGGAACATTGGTCTGAGAACAATGAAAAGTTACTGAAGACATTACACCGTAAATGGCATGGTCAGAGGTTCTTTGAAACACCAGCCAGAGAAGGCGAGGGCATCAGAATGGAAGGGAAACCAGAGAGCGCCAAGGCCCTGGCTGGACCATTTAGGCCTAAAATGAAAGAGGCAAAAATCACTCCATGACTCGTGCATCACACATGACTTGAAGTTTTCCAGACTCAGAACTGAACATGCTAATATTGGACAGTATTGTGCAAAGTTCAAATTTTAAAATAGAACAATATGTAATTAGTTATAATTTAGGGGAATCTCTTCCTTTAAAATAATATAAAAAATATTAGTTCATTGTTTTCTATGTGGATTCAAGGAAAATAGGATTCCATATCTAGCATAATATGTTGAAATATGTCTAACAGTGTTCCATTCCAAAAAAGACTCCTGTGAAGTCACAACGATTTGTTCGGAAGTTGTCAAGAGAAAGAACGATTAACTGCACTAATTGTCCACTAGATGGTAGCAGTGCAGCTGCTACAATTTACCAAGCAGTCATCTTCAAAATAATTTAGTAATACATTATTTAAATAGGCAGAGAAAAAGACACCTTAAGTGCAGAAAAGAAATTCCTGTGAATTCTTAAGCAGTACTGATGGAACTTTAAAAAATAGTAAATTAGCTAAATTATCTTCCCCCTGCAATTTAGATCATATCCGTGTTGTGAATCGGAGGGTCACCTGAGCGAAGCGGCATTGCCGCAGGCGCATCGCTTCATCCACACACAGTCGGAGGACCGGCCCCCGCCCCCTCCAGCGGGTACCCGCGACCTGGAACCGACGCATGCGGGCGCCCGGAGTTCAGAAGTAGGGTGGGTAAACCATGCGCCCACAGCCCGGGACGCGCCCTGAGCCTTGCCTTTCCCCAGGGGTGTGACTACAGAACAGCAAGGCTGGTTTTCCAGTCTGGATTAGGGAAGTTCTCCATCCCTGGACTCACGTGCCATCTGTCACCTGCTTCTGCCGGCGAACCTAATGAATTGGTCCGAGAGAGAATTTCAGGCCCAGGAGGAAGAGAAGGAAGAACGACAACAGCTAATGATGTCATTTGGGCACCAAATGGGGTCTTGATGAGCCTCTTAGGTCGTCTCATTTGAGGAGGTAGTGACTCCCCCTGCACCAGGGCGGACCCCGCGGAACCACACACCACGTCTTTGTCCAGAAATGCCACCTTGGCTGTCACTAATGAAGTTCTCTGCAGCATTAGGCAAAGCAGTTTCGTTTCGATACTGAGTCCAACATACACAACTAAGGGTCACAAATTTTTCCTTCAACATATGCTTTATGAAATGCCTGAAGATATTCCAGAAGTTCACCGGATTTGATTTGAAGATAGAGAATTATTTGAAAGATTCCAGTAAATCACAAGAAAACTTTTGCTTCCATTTTCTAGGACATTTCCTTTCTATAATAATGTTTGAAAAATATGCAAAAAAGCATAGCTTAAAAAAATAAAGTGATATTTTAAACCATGGCTAGACATGTACTACTGAAAAATCCTAGGAGTGCAAAGATCCAGAAAGATGGAAAATTATTGCCGTGTGAAACACTCGACTTTAAATCTCTTTTTAAAGAGATTAATTTAACCTATGAAACATCATACTGTCTTACAGTCAACCCTAAAATGACACGGTGTCCAACAGCTGCTCATCCTCCTCCGTACATATGCCAAGACCTTTTACAATTCTTGATGCAGTAATGTAAGGTTGTACTGAACTATACTTGCCAAGAAAACACACTCATTCTGAGAAAAAGCTCCAGACTATTCTTGAAATCCATCTATTGTACAGTTCTTGAGGCTAAACAGGTTGGGGAGAGTGAAAGGTCTTAAAAGCATCCCACATCTATATCCTGTTCCAGAAAGAGACCTGTCAGTATGCAACAGGTGTAAAGAAGACGATCTGTTCACCTGCAGTCTTCTCCTGAGAGATACCAGGATCCTCAAGTGTTTACTTAGATCCCTAGCTAAAATAGAAAGATCCTTCCTACTTGACCTGAAACCAGGCATAGCAGCCTCTCTACATAGTTTTAAATCTAGTCAAACAGAAAAAGGCTTCAAGAAAATATATTGGAATGCTAGAATGAAGGGTGATTTCTTTCTTCTTTCAACTTTTCTGTATTTTGCTAAATCATTTTCAATGGGCATTTATTACTTTTAAAGTCAGAAAATAAAACTCCAAAAAGCAAAGCTATCACATAAAAAAATTTTCTTGAGGTAGTCCACATTAAAACAAATGCAGAGGGATATTTCACCCCTAAAGGTCATAGCCACCACTTTAATCCCCCACATGACAAATGCAGATGCTCAGTTCTGCAGCCTTGCAGTGGCCAACGGTAAGTCAGTTTACAGAACAACTCTGTCAACTATCTAGAGGGCACCGGCTCGTTCTTTGAGGGCCTGCCATCCACCAAGTCCTCGACATATGCTATCTTCCCACAGCCGCTTGTTAGAGCTGCCTTTGCATCCCCACTTTACAGATTAGGAAACGAAGGCCCAGAAGGACTAGGCAGCCCGCTCAAGGTGAAAAAGCTAGTGTCTGATGTTACATCCATCTAACTCCAAAGTGGAGCTCTTTCTTGTCCTCTGTGCCCCTGACAAACGCACCCTTAGAAGCAATGGAGCGAGCGTTTGCTTTGGGAGTTTCTAGTGCTGATGAGCTTGTCCAATGTCCAGAACACGAAGGCGTCTGCAAAACCTTCCTCTTCTCTATCTGCAGGGTTGGGGCAAGGGGCCTCTCTTGGGAGAATAAAAGAGAGCCTTACGTTATGTCGCACACCTATCAGACAGAGATGAATGAAGCTATTGCTGCCTAAGCTAAGCTACGTATAACAAGGGCGTCTCCCCAATGATATTATTTTATAATAAAAATATACAACCATGACTCTGAGAAGTTTCATATATGACCCTCTATACATTTGTCTCTGTGAAGAGGTAGTTTTTAAAAGGAAATTCTAATTAGTTATCTCATTAGGTAAATTCACTCACTGTTCAGTCACCTATGATTCTGGGTAAAAGTCTTGCCTTCTCTTAATAATCCATAATCAACAGTGTTGTGTTCAAGACCAAAGACCGCCTGAGAGACTGTTTGAAATGATCTGTAAATGATTTTCATTAACTCAACTCTCAGGAAGCGTTTATTGGGCACCTACAGCATCTTGACCCTGAAGGCAGAAGCCGATGGACACACGTGTGAGCAAGCTTCCTATCTTCTCTCTAGGAGTCCTCACGCCACTTTAGGAACACGGGCTGCCTCTGAGGACAGAGAGGAGAAGGGGAAAGGAATGGGGATGTGGGTACTTTAGCTGTTTCTCTGATGTTTCCTTCTCTACAAAGAGAGGTACGGAGCAAGTACGGCAAAACTATAACCACCATAAAATCTAGGTGGTGAGCACCTCAGCGTTTTCCAGATTACTTACAATATTTTTAGTATAATCAAAGTATTTTGTAATTTAAATGCTTTTAATTTAACAATTTACAATGTAGCTTCAGAAACATATTTTTTGTTATTAAGGACCTCCAACCAAGGTTCTGTGGCCAGATTCCCAAATTCAGGTTCCAAGTGCAAATTCAAACTGATTCCTTCCGTCATTCAGTTCCAGCATGTGGTAGAGTAGTATTTTAGAACAAAGAACTGGGTCAGATCCAGCTCTGTGAACATGCTGGCAACGCCACCTTGGGCAAGTTATTCACTAAAAATGGAATTTGCCTCCCATCCCATCTGTAAAATGGGATATTCCCTATTGTAAAAGGTATATGAGTAGTGTGACATTGTGCCTGCCATGAAATGGGCATTTAGTGCTAGTATTGCCACCCCACTCCTCCCTCCCCAACTAGAAAACACGAGGGGAAAACCATTTCATCCACCAGACCCCTGAGAGGAAATCAGCTCCACCTCCAGATAAGAGCTGAGGCATAAAACTGGCAGAGGGTCTGGGGCGGGCAGAGAACCATGCGGCTCCTCCTGCCCCCCGTGGGCTTGATCGCTGCCGCCCTCGCCATCTCTCCTGTCCGCTTTGACAGGTAAATGCCACCACCTGTGCTCCGGCTCTGGGTGGGAGGAGGACTGAGGAACAGTGCTGACAGTTCACACTTTGCATCTTTTGCATTCTCAAAGGGAGAAGGTGTCCTGAGTGAAGCCCCAGGATGAAGAACAAGCGAACATCATAAAGGACTTGGCCAAAACCAACAAGGTAAAGCATTCAGAGGGATATTTTATCTTTTCTCCCTGTTCTCTGAAAGCTGCTTCTCTTTTATTTTAGGTTTAATGTCCACGAAGCTATGAAAGACAAAGATAAGGGAAGGAGGGGGAGCTGCCTGGATAAGTCAGCCCATCACCAATACTTCCCCCTTTTTTGCTTTTTCCCAAGATTACCACTTCCGCTTTCCCTCTCAAAAGCTTTGCAAGAAATAGCCTTTTCTGGGTGACACTGTGACACAAGGGGCCATTCCTGGTGCTTTGCCGGCGCCATGCTGCTCGCTCCCACCCTCACCCTCACCGGTGGCACAATTTCTGTTAAAGTATTAACCGGTAACATGAAGGACCACCTGGCTGACAACAGCAAGATGTGACCCTTCCAAGAGCAGGTCCATTTTAAAAGGAAACCCTTAAAGTTAGATCAGTCCTTCCAAATCCAACGGGCCGACGTGATCGTTTTATCATTTATGCAGCTGCTCCTACACAAAAGGCGCACTGTGCCACCTGACATATACCATTTCAAATTCGCTAAGAGATTCTCAATGTCAGTGTCATAATTTAACCCGTTTAAAACAGAAGAACTGAAGTTCAAAGACAGTAATTAAACGACCAAGATTACACATCAGACTCAAGCCCAGAAGTGAATCTGGGATTTACTAGAATCACGCACACCCTTGTCTCCACAGCGAATCAGTCAAAACTTCTGCCCACTCTACTTGCCAGATGTTGTCCAAATCGCTATTTTCCTCTCCCTGCCCCTGCCACTGCCAAGTTCGTGCTGCCCTACCTTCTCCTGGGAAGAGTTCAGTTGCCCCTTAACTGGCGCTCCGGGTTCTGCTCCTCCTTCCCACAAAGCCCAGTCCGCCCACACCCTGCCTGCTCCCTCTCAAACCTGATGGTTGTGTTCCTCCATTTGAAGCTTTTAATGAGAGGCAGCCTCGTATGGAAAGAGCGTGGTCTTCAGAGGTTCCAATCCCAGCTCTGTGGCCTTAGGCAAGTTACTTAACCTTTCTGGGTCTCAATTTCCTCCTCCATCAAATGGTGATAATAATTATACCTACTTCTTAAGGTTATTATAAAGACTAAGCGAACTAATATTTGGGTAGCGCTTAGAAGCAGGCCTGGCCATAACAAACACTGTAGATGCACTTTCTGTCGGTGTTGGTGTGGCACTCAGAGCCCATGATTGGCCAGCCTGCCAGCCTCTGCAGTCTCCAGCTCCCCCACCCTCTTTCTCACCCCTTGAACAACAAAGACTCACCCACTTTGGCCCACACACCTTTTCTCATGAGGAATGTGCTTCCCTCTTGACTTGGCTAGCTCATACTTACTCTTCAAGACCCAACGCAGATGGTGTCTCTGGCAGGAGTCTTCTCTGTCCACCAATTCTCATCACCCTGTTTGGATTGCTTCTTGTGTGCTTAGAACACCCAGTGCTCGCCCCTGGCTTTGGTCAGCATGTTGGAAATGCATACATGCTCTGTCTCCCACACTCAACTTCTTGCTTCTCATGAGTCCTTTATTAGCCTCTACGACCACAGCACCCAGCTCTCATGAAAGTTCCCTGAGCCCTACACTCTTGCTCCACATGGCCCTGTTACAACAGAGAAATTGCTGTTGTGATGAGACGGCCCCGCCTAACTCGCCTTTAAATCACACTCATCTCTCTTACGTCCAATTCACACTGTAGCTTTTTGATCAAAATACACCAATAAATATTGGTTGGTTCATAGCAGCCTCATACTGGCACATAATCGATTAACCCAGAGGTAGAGAAAGATTCAACTACGAAGCAGCCAGGTAGACTTGGGCACGCCCACGAGCTTGGTGTGATGGGTGGAAATTGAGTACCTCCTTCGCACTTTCCAGGCTGGGGAGTGGTACTTCATTCGTTTTCATAGTTGAGTGTGAATTTTGAAGAACAACAAGCATTGGAATCTTCTCAAAGTTATTTTAATCTGAATGCTATCCTTCCGGGCTCATTCACCAAATTTCTGAAATTCTCAGCTAGAAGAAGAGAAAGAGAAGGGAATCAGCATTGCTAAATGCCTGAATGTCCCAGACCTCATACCCATTTCACAATCTTCATGACAGTCCCAATGGAGTCCTGTTAGCCCCATTTTTTAGGGGAGAGGACTGAAACTCTAAGAGTTTTAGTAATTTGCCCAAGGACATACTGCTAGAAAAATGACAAGGCTGGAGATTATGCCTTCTGTTAGACACAAGCCTTCCAGGAATTCCAGAGTTCACAGGACATCTGGTTTTGAGGCCTGACTCGGGTGGGGGTGGGGGGATATTTAATCTATATTCCCAATGAGAGACAGATGTTTTGGCTAACTCAATTCTGTAACAACCCCAATTAGCCCCAAGATGATGAAAACAAACAGATTAACCAAAAGCTGCTCATTCTTTTTGCATTTACGTATAGATATATAGATACTATATACATTTATATAGAGATATATAGATACACATATTTAGATACTATGTCCTGCAAAAGTCATCAGTACAAATGGTTTCTTTCCCACTCCCTAATATTCAGCAATTCGTAAATATATTTGCAAAAATCTCATAAGCTTATTAAGAGAAGGATCCATACCTTAGTCACATTGAACCCCAAATTCCTTTTGTGGCGTATGACGCAATCATTTCTTAATAAATATGTGTTGGATGAGCAAATAAACAATCGTGGCTAACACTGAACTCATCTCCGTAGCTTGACTTCTGGTATCCAGATGCCACCCACCACGTAGCTGCTAACATGACAGTGGATTTCCGAGTTGGTGAAAAGGAATCCCAAGCCATCCAGTCTGCCTTGGACCAAAATAAAATGCACTATAAGTAAGTCCTATGAAAATGTTCAAATGTGTTGGATACTTAAAGTTTGGGGAGTCTTGAAATTGCGAGGGAAGTACTATTTTTTAATTGGGCCAAAAAAACAAAAGCTCTATCTATGAGATAAAATTTACAGTTCCTTCCTGACAGACTCTTGAGGCCTGCTTATATTGGCCACTCAACTTCCATCTTCTGTTTGCTCTGATCTGCAAGAATGACAACTACCTACATCTGCCACCTCCAAACATCAGCCCCTAGTAAGGACAGAGTGCACGCGAGCAGGCACGGATGGCTAGCCACGCTGGTGACCACCAGCACCACATGCTTCTATTTGAATTCTCCGGATACATCAAAGGAGAATTCATCTTTAAGTCAGAGATATGGGAATGTAAAATATATAATAAATAAATAATTCTAATGGAAGAAATTCTTCCTCAGAGAAAGCAAAAGCAATGCAGTAGAATAAGACTTACATGCAAGAGGAGAGAATTCTGAATGACCGAAGATGCCGAAATGAATCATTGTGGCCTCATAGAGAAATAGGGGAAATTAGAATTTATTGAGCCCCGTCCATGGGCCATGCAAGTCTGGGCCCTGGGGCAGCGAGCAAGAAGGGAGCCCAGCGATGACTATCACAAATCAATGCGTAATGTAGAAAACAAAATGTATTTTTACACTTTCAAACATTTAGCATTTGATGTACTGAAGGGTCCTGTGTTAACTCCCCAGCACTTGTCACCCCAGGCATCCCCTTTATTGACACCTGTCCCGCTCAAAACACTGCTCAGCACTAGTGCTTTCTTTCCAACTTGCTATTTCATGCCTCTGCTACTAACTCAGTGCTGTAACTGAAAAGGCCTTCTTCTGCTGGCGGAGACCAAGATCCCATATGTCACACTGCAGAGCGGGCTTTACTGCTGCTCGTCCTGACTTGATTGTATTTATGGTATTACTACAGCATCCTTAATATATATAAACTCTTACTGAAATTAAGCAAAGACACACCTAAGACAGAAGACAAACAACATTCTTGTTCATGGCTTAATGGCTTAAAAAGTAGCAGACTATTATTTGTGATGTTGTTGATCTCTGTCTTTGTTTTTACTGTGGTTTCAGGAGAGTTGTGAAGCAAACGTAGAAGTTAATAAATGGGGAGAACGTATTCAAGATTAATTTATACTGCATTTAGCCCTTTTTAATTAATGTATCGATTTGTGTTTTCTGTGTTTTTATAAATTGCACCATTAAAATTAGAAATAGACACTTTATAAATATACCTCCAAAATAGCAGAAATGAGTCATACACTATGGACCCTGCTTATACTAAGGTTCAGATGACGTCTTGATTCTTTCTTGTGAGAGAAACCGTCCCCCACTCTGTACACCCCCGAGACTGCGTCTCTTGATTCCCTTCACTGTCAGGCTTCCCAGATGTGTGCCTCGGTTATCACACCCTTCGCTTTTCTCGGTTAATGTAGGAAAAAAACCTGCCGGCACTCCTGTGATCAACCAATTCTTACCAAGTATCCAGCCCAAACTAAAATAAATTGTAGCTCGCCAATTTTGTATAATTTAGTTTGAACAGCAGGGTAAAAACAAAGCATTATGTTTTCCTGCATATCCTGGTAATGTAGACAAAAAGCTAGCTGTTTGAGATAAGAGTGGAGAGTGGAATAAGTCACTGTGACAGAAGACACCCAGGCAGGCAGCTGACATCCTTCTAGTCCATCACAAAGCTCCCGTCAGCCCTCTTTCCTCCTCGGTCCTCTCGGCCTCTGCCAGCCTGAAACGATTCTGACCCAAACAGAGGGCTGACTCCAGATCCTCACAATGGCGTATCTTCGACGCCAAGATGCCTCCATGCTATCTACAGCAAGAACCAAAGTGTTCAACTACCTGTAAAAATTAGTTTTATCTAATTAGAACACGATTTCTAGAAATTGGTCCAAATTAACCAATTTGTGGGAAAGCCACATAATTAGATAGTTACCTTCCTTGGAAATATAAATATGGAAAGTGATCTGTGCAGACAAGAACTATTCAAAATCTTGTCTCCAAGTACTAACTATATAGATAATTTTCTTTGCGTATTAATTACGTGTGTTGCTTGGTGTCAGTCAGTGAGAGAAGAGGTCTCTAAGAACAGAAACATCTGCTTGGACCCAGGCACCAGTGTGGATAAAGCCACATTAGGAGGCTGGTTTGCTTAGACACCCTTCACTAGACAGTGCATATAAACCACTACTTAGTTTAAAGCATCTGTGCGTGATATTCTTTTAATTTTCATAAAATTAAATTGCTAAGACAGATTTGATTCTAAAGTAGTATGGTTGCTCCTTTTTATTTACACCTTTACAAAGTCATAAAAGGCCAAGCCCCAAAAGGAAATCATGTGGATATACTGACCAACCTGAACAGACTGCTGAGTAAATGTCTAAAGGAGAGCACGTCCATCCATTGGACCGAGCCTGAAGGGCCAAATGCCAGATCCAGATTCAGCAGATAAAACCCTAGTGTTTTTGCTCATTTTTTAAATTTTAGATATTTGTATCTTAGATACATTTTAGATTATCTTTTCTTTTATCAAAAGTTAAAATTAGAAAATAAAGAGGTGTTAATGAAAAGTAATTCAGAAAACAAATATTAATATAATAGTAAAACTCAAATGATACAATTGAGTAAAATCTTATTAAAATCCACATAAGATTATGTGGGAAATGGAAAAGAGATCCACACCAAACTGACACAGGATTCATCATCACTTCATATTAATGTCCAACGACCTAATAATGTTCAGTCAGACACATATTCATATTCCAAGGATATACATGGTCCTATCAAATAAGTATTTCAATGAAATAAGTCATTCTAATGTCTCAAACCATTTATTTTTCCTTCTGCTCCACATTTTTATATGTTACTTGCCCAAGAGTAAAACAGATATATTGACACCTGCTATAAACGTCAATGAGATGTTGGTCACGGTGGAAAGCAGAAGAGTGTGGTATGTAAGAATGTGGATTCTGGAGCGAAGCTGTCAGGGTCCAGTTCCATTTAAGCCATGCATTAGGTATTTTTAACATTGACAGTTTACTTAACTTCTCTCCACCTCATTTTCTTCCTCTTTAAAATGGTGTTTCGTAGGGGTTTCTTAAAGATTGACTGGGACCATAAATCACTCTTTGCCTGGTTCCTTCACTTCTGTTAATGCACGTGGAGGAAAGACCACTTATACATGCGCTTACATGAGCGCACGCACACACACACACATGCACACTGTGCAACAGGGGATCACTAGAGGCTACCACCAGATGCTCCCGTTCCCTCCTACTGAATAAATTAGTGCCTTAAAGTTTATTATCCAACCCAGAAGTATGCCCCAAAGGTTGAGAAATCCATGTCAGTAAGGGCCAAGTTTGATACACAGTAACCCAATTAGGGAGTTACTGGGGACAAATGAGATCTTTTGGAAACCTGAAATCATGCTTTTTGAGTGGCCCCTGTTCTGCTGGAATGTGGGCATGGAGACAGGGGGTCCAGATCAGTGTATAAAGCACTATAACAATGACTCTGCTTCTCTGAAACATCCCTTCCGACCGCAGGTACACACACCAGAGGCTATAGCAATCACACGCCGTGGCCCACGGTATTCCGTTCCTTCTTTGTTACTCTCTAAAAGCAGCAGAGGGAGGGAGACTTGAAGCTGTCAAAATAAGAATCATCTTGCCTCTTCTCTGAACTTGTTTCCTGCTCCCTGACCTTGGGACGCAGGCTTCCAGGAGAGCTGATCAACCACGCAAACTTTGCACAAGCCTCGGTAGACTAAGAAGACTATGGGTCTGATGGCAGCACCCGAGGATTTCACTCCTTGTGATGGAGGCGTTGTGCAATGGTTCACAGCTAGGACTCTGAAGTCAGACGTCTCTGGGTTCCAATCTCAACTTGTGTATTTTATCAGTTGTGTCAACTTTGGAAATCAACCCAACCCCTATAAAAATGGAGGTGATAGTGGTACCCAATTAATAGTGTTCACATGAAAATTAACTGATAAAATATAAATAATGTGCTGAGCAGAGTGCCCAGCACATAAGACTCAACAAACATTAGCCATTTACATCATTAAATCCTCAGTGATAATTGTTTACCCTTTCACCTAAATTTAGGAATTTTTTTTAACAAATTAAGCAAACTTGGAGTGCTAAAATAATATTCAAGAGAAAGTAATTTGGTTTCATCTGCTTAAGCCTGGCTGCTGGTTAGTGGAAGGGCTCATGAAAATAACATCTGGCCCTAGTTCTTAATTTCCAGCCTTAGGCTTAATTTCTAGTTCCTATCAGCAACAATCTGGCACCATTCTGATGTCCTCATGCAGCTGCACTTGTGGAAAGGTTGTATTTCAGCTGATACAATTTTCCTTTCCTATTATTATCGCAAGAGCTAATCTGATATGTGTAAGTCTAAAAATATTCTTAGATATGAGCTTCCTGTGACTAATTAATACTGCCTTATAGTAGGAATCAACCTCTGGAACCATAAAACTTCTCTTTTGTCTGGTTCCTCTACTTCTATTAACGCAGGTGGAGCAAAAGCCACGTGCCCTCTTTAGAGCTTAAAATATGGATGTCTGTAATGACCACTCAAAATATAATTTCCAACCTTCTCAGTCTTTGGGTGAGTTTTAGTGCAACATGCCCCAACTGATTCCAAAATTGTTGTCACAATTTTTTTTCTTAGAAATCCCAGATTTATCGCAAGTCAAAAGCCAAGCATACAATGAGTTAGATATAATGTGCATAATAATGTGCTTGTCAGTGCTGTTAATGGGAATCAATATTCATGAGCAGTACTCGGTCTCATGTGCTAAATAAACTCTAATTAGGAGTACACCTCGTTTATGTTCTGCCTCCAAACTCAGGTCAGTCAGTCAATCAGCAGGAAGAAACCGACAAGTAGAGTGGGTGCCACACTGTCACAGCTCATTATCATAAGAAATTGAAGGAATCAGTGTCGAACAGCTACATACCATCAAAGCCTGGTTTGAAGACACGTTCAGATGTGAAGCGGTTGTCAGTTTTGTGACTCATCTTCACTATTATCCTGAGGTTCACTGGGTGCCTATGGCATGCCAAGTACATCTCAAGTTTCACTTCATTTCATCCTCACCACAATCCTGGCTGGCATGTTTAGTCCCATTGTAAAAATGAGTAAACTGAGGCTCGGAGAGATGGTTAACCCAGCAAAAATCACATTAAGTATTAAGTAGCCGAACTGGGGTTGGAACCCAAGAATGTCTGACCACAGAGCCTCTCCCCACTAGATCACTACTGCCCTAATTGACAGCATTTATGGAGGTGAAAGAGTGCAGGATCCTGTCCTACTAGAATGAAAAAGTAGGCAACATCTTCCTACATAGGACTCACTGCTGACAGAAGGAAAATACATATGTCTCATCAACAAAAGTAGACTAACGCCATGTTTTACATGAAGTCAACAGGAATTGAGATAATCCAAATAAGGAAATTGTTCAGATGAGTAGAACTTCAAAAAATTCCCTATTGTAAGTATTTCACTGAAGTACTTTCATCATAAGCCACAGTTCCTTACCCTGCAAAATAGAATATATTGAATACTGTTTACCTTCAGGATTATCATTATCAACATGAATTTTCATATGTGCTGTAAGAGAGTGATATCCTCAAGGGCTATTTAAGTTACCAGAATATGCTGGGTGATTTGGACTTACATCAAGGGACCTCTGACCCCAGGTGTGCTAAATCCTTCTCTCTGTGTCATTTCACTTTCCTTTTTTTGCCGTCAGCTCTCACCTACTGAGAGTAGGCTTGCTTCCTGTGAGTCATTTTCCCTGTGTCCAGTGCATTCTTTCTAGGTTGGACAAGCTTTTTATAACTGTATCTAAAATAAAATGAACGAGGCTTTTTGTGAGAGTGTTTGTATATCTCCTATGGCTGTAACATAATATTTAACATATTAAAGGATCTAATAATACATTTTAATGCCACTGTACATGGATGGACAGTGGTGATTTGATCATATCAATAGATACTGTCATATTAATCTGAAAATGGCAATCAACATTATACTCATGGTGAAAGACAGGTTTTCTTGTTAAAACCAGAAAAAAAATAGAACGCCCTCTTTCACCAGTATTATTTTCCATTGTTCAGAGAGTTTAGCCAATGCAATAAAGGAAAAAAAAGAAACAGTTATTGTAAAAAAAGTAGAAAATATAATTTTTTGCAGAAGAAATAACTACACAGAAAACCCAAAAGACATAAATATAAAATCCTTAGAAGTAAAAAGATAATTTTTAAACTAATAAAGTGGCTAATAGATAAGTATAACCAAAGCAATATATTTTTTAATATATGAATAATAACCAGTTCAAATGTTTAGTGGAAAGAAAGCCACTCATAAGACTAATAAAAAAAATCTGAATAAACAAAATATACAAAATTTTACTGAGGAATCAAAAAGACAGCTATAGATGGTTCATTATTAACAAGATTCTTCTCAAATTTATACATAATTTAATAAAATTCTAATCAAAAGCCCATTTTATAATAATTTCTAAAATGATTCTGACAAAAACATTCATTAAAAACAGGTGAAACTACTCAAAAAATTTGAAAGCAAGAATAGAGAGACACTTTGTGAAATGTTAAAATTCAATATTAAAACTATAATTAAATATTGTTTGGTTCTTACGCAAGAGTACGAAAACAGACTAATGGAGCACAATAGAAAATCCCAAAACAGACAAAGCATACAAAAGTATTTGTGTATACGATGACACATGGTACTTTTGAAACATAAATCTTGAAGTCAGACAAGCCTGCATTCAAATTCCCAACCTGGCCCACACTAAACACATGGATGTCCCAGTGCAAGTGTCAGGCAGGCAGTTGGCTGTGGCAGCCACGGGAGAGGCAAGGAAGAGGAAGGGGAGAGGGAGGTTCAGGAGAGAGGCCAGATCTGGAGACACAAACATGCTACAGTCAGGTTGCCATGAGAGCCGTGGGACTCAAGGAGCTGCCGAGACGACTCAGGAAGAGATGAAAATAGAGAAGAGGGTAGAGGCATAAGCTTCTGCTCCCCAACATTAGCTTCCCAGCAATTCTTCCTGCATCTTATTTCGCCCCCTCCAAACCAGCCTAACCATTTTCTAGCTCTGTAAACCATGGGCAAGCTATTCAAACACTTTGTGCCTCAGTTTTCTCATCTGTAAAATGAGGATAATAATCTCATGTGAAGATTCAACACGTTAATGTACACGAGGTGGTTAGAGCAATGACCAGTGCTAAGTGCGTGCTTACTATTACTGTTGTTACTCAACTTTCTCCCAGCTCTCAAAGTCTGAAATGATAAAGGATGTGCATAAGAATACACATTGTTGCCTGTGTTGTGTGTGTGTGAATGTGTGTGCACTTTGGAGAAAGATGGGGTGTGACGGTAGATCAGCGCTGCCCAGTAGCAGTATAATGCAAGCCACGTGTGTGATTTTAAATATTCTAGTGGCCACATCAGAAAAGTAAAAAGCAACAGGAAAAATTAATTTTAGCAATATATTTTATTGAACCCACTATATTCATGCTGAAATATATTTCCACATGTAATGAATATAAAACTTATTAGTGAGATATTTTACATAATTTCTTATTCTAAGTCTTCGAAATTCAGTGTATGGTTTACACGTACAGCAATCTCTGCTTTTGGACAAGCCCTATTTTAAGTGCTCTAGAGCCATATGTGGCTAGAGACTGCCATGGGATAGCACAGCTCTAAATAAATGGGAAATCTGAAGCCAGACACATGACACATCTAAAAGAGATGGCTAGAGAATAATGAAGAAACAGGGCCAACTTGATCTGAGAGACGAAGGAAGAGAACATTTCTGCAAGTGAAAAATAACTGTGATTTTCTTTCTCAGTAAGTGTGTATTTTATCAATCCCCTGTCAAACAGAATCTTGATTCATGATCTACAAGAAGAGGTTGATAAACAGTTTGATGTTAAAGAAGATATCCCAGGCAGGCACAGCTATGCAAAATACAATACCTGGGACAAGGTACAGTACAAAATGCCTGTGCTTCAAAACAAGAGTGATCCTCAACATTTGTTGTCATTTAGTTTTCTTTTATTCTAATTCCTCGAATTGGTTTTGCTCTTAAGATTGTTGCTTAGACTGAAAAAATGGTGCATAAGCGTCCTGAAATGGTTTCTCGTATTAAAATTGGAACTACTGCTGAAGATAACCCACTATATGTTCTCAAGGTAAAAATAATTCAAGAACTACTGATTCTTATTATTGTTGAAAAACATGAATTGAAAAGCTACTTTGTGACACATCTAGCTAATTTTGAGACAATAAAAAGTCTTAGTTTTTGAAGGACATTTAAGCTCTAGACATCCACTCAAGAATAGAAGTGACGGGTGGTTTTAGGTAGAACCAAGACAGTTCCTGAATAAACAATGTTAGACACAGAGGACACATGCAGACAAATATCTTATCCTGTATCCTTATTACAAGAGTTTATGATGTCCCTGGTGTATAAAACAGGTTCCATCCATTCAATTCAGTGAAACTGATGACTAAAATGTCATGAAGAAAAGAGAAACTTAAGAATCCTAGAATTGTAAGTGAGGCTTTTAACCTCGTGTTGATGGGGGATTCCCTTCTCTAACGGAGCTGACAATTGTCATTCAGCTGCTGCTGGGTTTTTGTACATCCGAAGCCACTGCTCCCTGAAGCAGCCCCTTCGTAACCCAGAAGCCCTTCCTTCCCCTGAACTCCCATCCATTCCTTCCATCCAACCCCCCAAAATGAACCTAAACTCTCTCCAAAATGACAGCCCTTCAAATATTCCGCCACTATTCCTCCTCCCCACTGCAAACACAACTACAAACTAAATGTCCAGGCTGACCATCTCCAGTTTATGAAGCCAGAAAACCAAAAGGAAATGACAGAAGCAGAAGCAATATTATAAACTATTTCTCAGACCAGTGGATGTTAGCAACAAGAAAAAAATGGATTGTGATTTTTTTAAAAAACCCTATAAAGCAACTCTGTACTGGAAAAAATGTTTGAAAAATATACTATGTAATAGATGATGAATTATGTATAGACATTTAAGGATATGTGCCCTGGTCTTCCCTGAGAATAATACATGCTTGCACAGTTCCTCATTCCACAGGAGACAGGGGAAAGCGCTGCTTTGAGAATGTGAATGAGTTATTGGACAACAAAGGATCAGTGTGTGAGATCATGCAAAATAATATCTCAACTTTATTTTTAAATAGATTGGGAAAAAGGATGAAAGAAGGAAGGCTATTTTTATGGATTGTGGCATTCATGCACGAGAATGGATCTCCCCAGCCTTCTGCCAGTGGTCTGTCTATCAGGTAAGTGAATCGGAACACTCTCACAATTCTCCTTTGATTGTCAAGTCTCCAGCACTTCGCTGAGTGGCAACACCCCTTTCCAAACCAGTGCAGCTCCACTTAACTAGAAGAGTCCACATTTGGTGCTGTCAGGAAATAAATGCTCTGGATTTTACTCATCGTTGCAGTTTTTATAAAATTGACACCTTCCTTCAAACTTCTTGAACTCCAGCTGACAGTTTATAAAACTAAAAGAAAACGTTTGGGTTATAATTTGAGAGTTTTCCCTATAGTTAAGTATGGAAAATCTGAAACCACCTTAATATTACAACCTACAAACGTGGCCTTTCTTCAGTGCGCTCAAAGCCCAGAACTTTAGTTCCTATTTAGAGATTTCATTGGCCACATATGCACTTGGAATTTTCATATTTAAATTTCATTTCCAAATGAAAATTAACTCACTTTTTTTAAAAAAGTAAATCCAATTTATAAATTTACTATTCTTCTCATTCTATTTCTATTGTATTCTGACTCCTACTATCTTTTAACTTTCTCTCTCTACAGCTTTTGTATACAACATGCTGATGGAATACGTGTGACAGTGGCTTTCTGGGCATGGGTACTTTCACTAGGAACGAATCTGCCAGTAGAACTGTCTTATCCTTGTGGTTGTTTAAGCTGTTCCAGCTGAGGCCCAAGAGTTCCCCTTATTCAACCCATAAGGGAACACCCATCGTGGGGCTATGTGAAATCTCTTGGCTCCGGTACACATATGTCTGGAAGAGATTTCCAAGAATGATGAGAGAGATGTTAGGTAACCACATTAAGTCCAGATAACTAGAGAAATTTTAGCTAGATGTGAGAAAAAATGTGGATCAGTCAATTTCTAAATGGTTTGAGTTTCTTAGTAACAAAGCATATTTTGTTTAATCCTATTTATAAGTAATGTATTAATCCTCTCCAATATTAACATATTCCTATGCTTACAGACTCAATCTATATTTACCTAAGGAATGTGAAGGAAAGAATCCATTAAAAACAACTTGTACTGCTAATTTTTCATGTGGCCTCCATTTTTCTATGAAACATATCTTGCATGCTACATTTGGAATGCCACAAATCTCATTAATTAAATGATCCTTTAAAGAACGTTCAGTTAAATTAATTTCACTAGTCTGAATAAGTGTCATTTTTTTCTGTTATCCATATAGGTCACTTATTTTCATGCAGTTTAAGGGAAATACTTTTGAAATCATGTGACCTTGGGCAAATGACTTACAGAGTGGCAGTTATTACTATTGTAACCACAGCTTTCCACATGGTAGCTAAACTTTATACTAATAGCTTAATTTTTTTCCTACCCCTACAGGCAACCAAAACTTATGGAAAAAACAAAATTATGACCAAACTCTTGGACCAAATGAATTTTTATGTTCTTCCTGTGTTCAGCGTTGATGGATATATTTGGTCATGGACACAGATACTGCTCTGTAGTCTCTTGTTTGCATCTAGATAATATATTGTTTACTGACTTTAATGCACACTGATTGTTATACCTTAAGTTTAAGGTTTGGGTAACCAGTTGGTCCAATACAGAAAAGTATATTTCAGACTAAGGCAAGCATGATTTCCTGGTTGCATAGATGTCCTTGAAATAATATGAAATTTTTGCTGCGGAAGCTAGTAATGTGGAAAAATAATTATAAAGGAAATTTATGTTATATGATATAGCAGAAGCATATTCTAGCTAAGAATAAAAGCCATTTAAAGACATTACAAACACATTGACCTCAAAGCAAAAGTCATTGTATTCCATCAAGATGGGACAGAATTTGAGGTGGAATAATTGTATCAAAAAATAAATACAGTCATCCCTCAGTATCCACAGGACATTGGTTCCAGGTCCCCCAAGGATACCAAAGTCCTCAACTGTTCAAGTCTCTTATGTAAAATGGTTTAGTATCTGCATATAACCTACACACATCCTCCCGTATACTTTGTCTTCTCTAGATTACTTATAATACCTAATACAATGTAAATGCTGTGTAAATAGGTGTTATACTGCACTGTTTAGGGAATAATGACAAGGAAAAAAGTCTGTACGTGTTCAGTACAGATGCAACCATCGTAGGCCTTTCGATCTGCAGTTGGTTGAATCAGCGGAACTCGGGGATACAGAGGGCCAACTGAAAAGAGTGACACAGACATCTGTCTGTCTGTCTTTAACAGGATGCTTTATGGTCCTGCTCTTGCTAATTAAGATTAATACTGAACTTTCAGATGGATACTATCACATCAAGTTCTTTTCTGAAAATTATGCCCCAACAGTCACAATTTGACCTGTATTATATCTGAATCTATAAATGGTGAAAGATGTAATGAAGTTATAATTTAAATTATAGGTAATTTCAGAACATCGTTGATCATTAACTAATACTGAGAACTAATCAACAGTTTTTAAAACTAACTGAATTATTTTATCAAAGCCTTAGAATATTAATATAAAAAGGAATATTTCTGAAAATATTACAAGTTGTAAGAAAATAATATATTTTTCTTCATAATAAAGGGCCTCAGGTTAACTAGATAGATTTCAAATAAAGCTGTAGACACTGCAAAGAGGATATGAAATGATCAAATTGAAAAACGCAAACTGATCTGGTGTAAACGCTTCCATCATTCAGTCCTGCAGAACTGCATGTGGAGAAAAAATCGTTCCAAGAACCAGGACTCCCAATGCATCGGCACTGACCTCAACAGGAACTTTGATGTCTCATGGAACTGTGAGTAGCTGACTTGATCTCAAGGAAAATAGCTAAAAAGAGTGTTTAGACACCAAATTTATTTAAACCACCTACTTATTTCAGTAAAGATAGGTATTAATTTTCCAATCTAAAAAATGAAAGATGATCATCACTATCGCAGAAGTATTATGAATGTTTTGTTGTATGGGAGGAAGTAGGTGGCGGGGTTGTATATCAAACCATCTTTTACTTAATATATCTAGCTTGCTAAATCAGGCACAATCCAGATGCACAATAATTCAGATAATCTGAACAGAGGTCTCAGGTCCCTCCTCTTCCTGGCCTGATAAAAGTTGAGAAATACCAGTGGTTAAAACCAGCATACACCAGTTCTTCAGATGTTTAGTGAAAAGAAACATCTGGGGCAAAGCAAGTGAAAAGCTTTCATGGAAAGGCTGTGAAAGCAGAGGCCTGCTTCCTCAGACGGCACTACAGTTGCTACACAAATAGGACTTTATCGTTACATGCGTTCAAGGAGAAATTACCACTGCTCCATTCATAAATTTTTCCTTTAAATAGTTTTGTTGAAAATGCCACCTCGGCCTTTAATTCTAGTCTACCATAATGACTGTGATAATAGCAGCTGTCCCTAATTGAGAGCCACCTGCTGAAATAGGTTGAAGAAACTCAGGCTCAAAGAAGGTAATTTGCACCCGTCTCCAGCAAGTTACAGCCTGGGTTGAATTGGAACTGGGTTCTTTCTGGCTCCAGGTCTGTGGCTGCCTCTAATGTATCATTCCTGCGACCCTGGAAAACGAGGAGGGGGGGACAAACAAGGTTAAAATATTCCAGTGGGCTGGGTCTGTTACACTCTAAGTTGTGTGTACAAAGTTAATCTGCTGAGACTGTGACACCAGAGACGTTAAGACAGCACTGCAAACCTGAGACTAAAATGTTTGAAACATTTTGTGAATCTCCGTCGGAAGAGGTGGGGCTGTACTGATGAGGAGCAGATTGTGATCTCATCCATCCATGTCCTCTGCAGCTCCTCCTAACACCAAGGACCCATGTGTAGACACCTACCGGGGCCCCGCACCATAGTCCAAGAGAGAGACCAAAGCTGTCACTGACTTCATCCGAAGCCACCTGAAATCAATCAAGGCCCACATCACATTCCATTCCTACTCCCAGATGCTACTGTTTCCCTTTGGATATACATCAGACCTGCCACCTAACCATGAGGACCTGGTATGTAGAGAAAAGTCTATGATTTATGCATTGACACCACCATTGGCTTTCAGACTATTCTTACACAGCAACTAAACTTATTAAGAAAAAGAATATTTCTTGGTTATATACACTATACATATAGACTAAAAAAGTCTTCATTTAGAGTACAAATATGTTAGTGACTCTATTCCATTAAAGTTCATTACAACAGCACAAAACACTAATGCGTATTAAAGGTCATGAAATGCCACTCCAGAAGAGAAACTCTAATGTAAAGAGGAGTCAACCACCTTTCTTCCCTTGGCACGCTAAAATCAGTTGTGGAGAAAGTCTTATGGCAATGTGGAGCCGATAAAGACAGAGAGGAGGAACATGAGAGAAACTGACTTTCAAAGAGACAAATATCTGAAGCCAAAGAAGTCTGAGGAGAAGAAGAGAGAATATGTTTTTTAGAAGGAAGTACATAAGGAAGGAAGGGAGGGAGGAGGGATGGAGAAAGGAAGGGAGACAAGAAAAAAAGAAAGAATGGAAATACAAAATGAGATACAACCATGTACGTAACTGATTTCACACTTAGAAGTTTTCACAATGACAGTATATCTTACTGAAAGTAAATTTGTAATTTAATCACTCATTTTATTTTGATCTTCAAATGCCAAATAACTAGGAAAATTGACTTTTTTAAATCTCCAGTAAAGTAATGGCATTTACATAGTATCCTATTATGGCACTCCAACTTCCCTTTCTCTCCAGGTCAAAGTTGCAAAGATTGGCACCGATGTTCTATCAACTTGATATGAAACCCACTACATCTATGGCACAATAGCATCAACAATTTGTAAGTTTTTCCCGTTATTTACTACGTCGTTTTCCCTAATTTTTTTTTATAAATATTAAAGAAAATTATAGAATTTGTAAATTAGGATTAAAACATCTGGAATTGCTAATTTAAACTTCAGTTTTAACAGGTAATTCTGAATTATACGTGAATCTAGGGGATGGATTCCACTCTTTTTGGGGGATAAGACTTTTCTAGAAACAAATTATAATGAACTTTTACAAGGTTAGAACCAGGTCAACAGAAGTTATTAAGTGAAGACAACTTCACAGTTTAATTCATCTCCCGTCCTGTTCCTCCCCACCACCTCCACCACCTCCACCATGTTATCCTCACAGGAACTAAGGAGAACTAGTTGGGGTGAAGTCGATAAATTTTTTTTAAACCATTTAACTTTAATTGGACTCTTTCTTCTTTGGCCTTGTCCCCATGCAAGCATAGTCTTTTCCCGAGCTCCTGGTGGGAAAATGGATAGGCCAACAGTTTCAGCCAGTTGGATCCTGTAAAACCAGTTTCCTGTCCTTCCCCCAGCCCCTTCCTATTGTATTCAGCTGAAACCAACTTGGTGGCTCAAGAAAGGAGGTCATGAGGTTCTGGTTCTCTTGCTTTTGTTGTAGTGTCTCAGCACCGCTTCCCACTCTCCACTATTTTTAGACTTTGTTTTTGTGTGTTTTTGAATTATTGACTTAGATTTCTTACATGTCATGCACTGTGCTTTGCCCTTGATTTTCACAACCTCAGTTAATCCTCACAACCCCATAGGAGGTGGGCAGTAGTTGTAGCTACAAGTACAGAGCTGGAATTCAGTCCCAGGTTGTAACAAAGGGAAAGCCCCATCATCTCAGCTACCGTGCGTACTACTTTCTCATTTGGTTTTTGTGGTTAAAATAACCAGGCTTTTCTATTTTCAAGCAATGAAAAGAAATTCCTTTGGTTTTCACCAATCAAAGACCATTAATTCAGACGGGGGAAGTGAGATCATTTCTGCTCTTGTAACAGGATCCCACTGATCTTAGTTTGGAAATACTTTAATAAAAATCACCTTTTCTCCAAACCATTTCCAAGCTTAAGTTCTTAGGCCCAAACTTTATAGAAAATTCCCAATGAAACTGCTTACAAAACCTTAACTTCCTAACAAAATTGAATTTCTCAAAAGCAAAGATTACACTTCCAATCTTCTCTCAGACCACATAATATCTGGCACAGTGCAGGGCACGGAACAGCAGCAGAATTAATTCCCATAAACTTGGTCAATGAAAATGGCGCCCTGACTTAGCCGAAAGTAGTGAATGTGCATTGAAACCACAACAAGACTAGGCTTGATTTAGCCTGCATCACTTTTGAGAGCCATGATATCCAATATTTTTAACATGAAGACTGCTGTTGAACTTTTAAACATTTCCTGGACAACCCCCCCCCCCCACCACCAAACACACATACTTATTTCCATTATACTTTTAGAACTTGTGGATTGAAAAAATAAATACGTACACGCGAATCTATGGTTTCCTTGCAATAACTCTACCTGCCCACACCTTGGAAACCACTTCCCTAACCAAAGCAAAAACTATAAACTTGGAACTAAAAGTCTACACCCTCAACCACTGCTCTTTGAATTTGAAAATGGCATCATCACATACAGCTTCTAGAGCCTACTTACTGGAGGCTCTTTTGGTGGAATTGGAAAAATGACTTAAAAAAACAGACAAGTTCCGTTCCTACAGAACCTTCATCAGCAATCACCTATCGACCGGTCACTAAAGGGCTGAAGAGAAAGTACAGTGACACAGCCAATCACCAGCATCCAAATAGATCTTGCTGTGACATAGCCGTGCCACGGGTTCATTACATGTCCAAGTGGATGACAGGATTTCAAAACAGATGATGTCTGTGAGTGGCCAAAATTGAGCAAAATAAAGAATAAGAGGACAGACTAGAACACCAGTTTAAAATGGCAGCATACTTGGTGGATACTGAGAAATAGCAGGGATGCTGAAAAAGAGCAAGTCTTACATCAGAAGCAGAAAAGACACATAGATATCCTTGACAGCAAAGAACAAAGGATTCCCAACAGGAACAAATTTTGCAAAGGCAACTAGAACATCAAAGGATTATTACTCTCACACTTTCCACATATAATTTCAATGTATGTTTGCATATATATATGCAAATTCTGAGCATACTAGAGCTATGCCTGGCATTGCATCACAGTCATTTAATGAGCAAGCATTTATGGAGCGCCTACCGAATAATCCAGCACTTTAGAGCTTTGAGAGAGAGGTGAGAGGAGTTAGCACACAATAACTGCTCCCAAGGGGTTACATTCTAACTGGGAGGAACAGAGAACCAAGGCACCATAGCTCCATGCCATCATGTGTCACTTTCAAAAAGGGAGGATAGGGTGGACAGGAATTACTACTCTGCACAACTGTGTAGCAGTATTTTAAACTTTTTTTATTATGTTCAAAGTTTTTTTAAGGAATTCCGATTTAGAAAGAATTGCCTCTTCTATACAGGGCTACAGCAGCTTGACAGACATTCAAAGTTTTTAGGAGTGACTGCTTCAATAAAGCATCTGATTAAATGTTAATCAAACACCCATGAGAAGCAGGGGCTTGCAAAGTGGTTGACTTGGTAAGAACAGAAAATAAGGGCATCCCACGATTATAGTTTAATCATTCCAATATCCTGATTGTCACTTAACAAGTCCCAGAGTTTGGGAAAGCATCTAGCATTTGCCAGTATTTTTCTCTCTTTGATTTGATGGAGACAGAAGAAAAGAACCGAGGGAGCATTTTTAAAACCCAAATTGTGGAGAGATCTCCGACCTCCAGAAAAAAATAAATATGTTTGCAATTTGAACCTACAAAGCAAATATAGCAAGTAAGTTAAAGTCATAAAATTTGAAACCAGGAGGAAACCTAGGAGATGATCTCATTCGTGGTTCCCAAGCCTGGCTCCATTAGACGCATCTGAGGAAGTTTTAACACACGCAGGCGATAAGGCCCCCCACCAGAGAGTCTGATTTCATCAGTCTGCGGTGGGGCCCAGGAATCTGCATTTTTTTAAAGTACCCAAAGTGATTCTGAGATGAAACTAAGGTTGAGAACCACTGCCCTAAGCTAAATCCCTCATTTATAGACTGTAAAATGGAGAAACAGAAGAATTATATCACTTTGGGGCAGAAGAGGAACAAAAATCAGCCTTCCAGACCAGAGTCAAATGCTACACCAACTACTGTGCCACAAAGCAACGATATCGGGTGGCACAAAAATGGATGTTAAAAGATTGTGAATGTTTACATTTGCATATTGACAGTATAACCAATCCTTTACCATCTTAGAAATAACTGAACATAGTACCTAGTTAGCGAGAAGAGCTCATTGAATTGATGGGAACCAGACAGCTTGCATCGTTCGTATCACCAATCTGTAAGTCACACCATTAATTAAACAGTTACCTTCAAAGTGCCTTTCTTCTTGCTTTCCCCACCCACCAAAATTTCTAGATCAGCTCCTGTTTCTCAACCCCGTACTGTTTTCCACGCTGTACCACTGTACATTTTGAAGAGGATAAAATCCAGACCCGAATTTTTAGCTCACAACACCCAATACATATCTACTAAGAGACACTCAAGCTGAGATTATATTAAGGGGCAACAGAAGTGCAGAGAAAATACTTCAACTCAGGCCCGTGTATCTCCAGCTTCAGCTCTTGCTTCAAATAGAATTTTCATCTAGAGTTGATATAAAAGTGCGGGTTCTTATGTTTAATGCACGTCAATAATACTTTTTATTAAAAAACACACATTAAATCACCAGTGTCACTGTATGTGGATTCCTTTGGGCTGAAACTAGATTCCTAGTTTGGCTCAGTTTTATTTTGACTTGTTTTGATTGTATTACAGCAAATTCTTTGCACCTAACGTGCCTCAGAAAGAGTAGACAAAAAAATTGTTGATGTTGATATATTAAGAAAATGTCAACAAAAACTTGTCTTGTAGAACTCAGTGAAGACTTTTTATTGGGAGGACTATAGATTGACATGTGGTACGTAGTGCTTCATAGCACACACTCTGAAGACATGCAGCCTGGGTTTCACCCTGACTCAACCACTTCCTAGCTACTGTCTTTGAGCAAATTGCTTAATCTCTCTGTGCCTAAGTTTCCTCTTCTGTGAAACAGCAGTTGGTATTGGAATCATAAGGCTGTGACAGGAATTACTGAAATGAATTAACACACATAAAGCACTTCGAAGGGTGCCTGGTATTTAGCAAGTGATGGTTATTATATTTTATAAATATATACACATATTTTAGTGGGTACAGATGGAGATAAATAAAAGGCTAAGTAGCATGTTCAACAAATTAAATTCTATAATAATGCATTCTTACAAGTAAAAAGCTTTTTATGCCTTAATATAGTCTTTGTTTGCAAATTTAAGGTTTCGAAGATACAAAAAAATGGTGTCGTAAAAGAAAATATATTACACTCAATAACATCTCACAATTAATGAAAAGTCATCAATCACATATATTCTCAATCACCACTATCGATCTTAATGAGGAATTTCAAATAAATTTGTCAAAATGGAGTAGCCATACTCTAAGTCTTTGAAATCACAATAGTTTACTTAACTGAAAATGGAGAGCTGGTGCAGCTAGAAACTGGCCAGGTTTATTAAAATGTCTAGCACACTCTAAATCACCATGCAACACACAATTCCTATTTATTCTACCTCCAGTACTACTAAACTCTTACCTTTATGTGCTTTTTTACTAATGAACTTAAACCTCACTTTAGCTAAAAATGGCAGCCTTCTTGATCACTAAGCCAGTACAGTTATTTCAGCTCACATGCTCCACAAACTCCCTGCAACACAGGACCCTGTGGACATCGTTTCTTCTTGCCATTGCTTTGGCTTCCAGGACTGCGAACCCTCCTCGTTTGTCTCCTCCTTTTCGACACTGTCTCAGCCGACTGCCTCTAAAAGTAGACATTTTCAAAAAGAAAAAATAGTGTGATATGCAGATACTTCACGAAGTCCTCTCTTCAAGCCCCTCCTCTTCCTTCAGGCTCTTTCCTAATCAGGGAAGTGCTCTCTACCCTCACAGGCTGGAGTCCACGCTTGCCACCTAGAGGTACCAGGTGGCCCAGCGGGGAAATCACTTTTGGCCCATGCAGCAGTTACCCGCAGAGAGCAGTGGGAGCCCAGCAGCACTAGGGGAACCCACCAGACCAAAATAGCAATGCAAAGGCTCTGACAGCTATATTGTCATTGGAACCACAAGTCACAAAAGTAGCCCAGGCCTGCACGCTAAACCTCAACAGGATGACTGCCTGCTGAAACAGATTTCAGCTAAGATTTAAGGTTTAACATAATAGCCAAAATGTCCAGGATATAATCAAAAGTCACTTATACCAAAAATGAGAAAAATCACAGCTTGAATGAGAAAAGACAATCAAGAGATGCCAACACTGAGATAATTTAGATGTTGGAATTATCTGCCAACAATTTCAAAGTCACCATCATAAAAATGCTTCAACAAGCAATTACAGGTAGCCTTGAAACAAATGAAAATATAGAAAATCTCAGCAAAGAAAGGCAAGATATAAAAAAGAATAAATGGAAATTATAGAACTGAAAAATACAATAACATATTTTTTAAAACTCACTGGAGGGGCTCAACAGCAGATGAGTATGATGGAGGGAAGAATCAGAGAACTGGAAGGTGAATAGAATTCACCCAATCTGAAGAGAGAAAACAAACTGAAAACAGATGAGCAAAGCCTCAGGGATGTGTGGCATAATAACAAAAGATCCAAAATTCAAGTCCTCAAAGTCCCAGGAGGAGAAGAGAAAGAGAGTAGGGCTGGAGAAAAGGATTTGAAGAAATAGAGACTAAAGTTTCCCAAAGACATAAACCAACATATGCAAGGAGCTACGCGAAACCCAAACAGGATAAAGTCAAACTCACATGGAGCCACACAATTAAAATGCTGGAAACTAGAGACAAAGAAAAAACTCTTGAAGGCAACCAGAGAGAAACAATCTAGAAGGAAAATACAATTCAAGTGACAGCACATTTCTCATCTGAAACCATGAAAGGCCAAAAGGAAGAGACAAGATTTTTCAAGGGCTAAAAGAAAAGAACTATCAACTCTAAATTCTATATTTGGCAAAAATATCCTTCGAAAATAAAGAGGAAATGAAAACAGTCTCAGACACAGGAAAACTAAGAGAATCTGTCACCTGCAGACGTACCCTTTAAAATTGGCTAAAGGAAGATCTCCAAATAAGAAAGAAATGAAAACAGAAAGCCGTTTGAAACTATAGAAAGGAAGGAAGAGCGATGGATTAGGTTATAAATGAATGCATAGATAGGGTAACTAGACTTTCTCCTTATGATGGTTGAATCAAAAATTATAACTCCATCTGTTGTGATGTTCAACGTATATAGAGAAGTACTCAAGACAACTGTATTTAAGAAGTAGGAAGAGAAAAAGAACCTAAGTGCAAGTAAGGTCTCTCTATCTCACTTGACACGGTAAAACATTGATGCCAGGAGACTGTAATAAGTTACGTATGTATATTGTAATACCTGGAGCAACTACTAAGAAAAGTATTCAATGAGATATACTCAAAAACATTGTCATAAGTAAATCAAAATAGAATCCTAAAAATGTTTATGTACCAAGAAGATGGCAACAAAAGAGAAATAGAGGAATAAAAAACAGAGGGAACAAACAAAAATCACATAATAAGACGGCAGGTTTAACTCATATCAATAATTTATCTGTGTGTTATTTAAAAGATAGAGATTGGCAGAGTAGATTAAAAATTATGACTCAACAATGCACTGCAAAAAACTCACTTCAATTATGACACAGGTTGAAATTGAAAGGCTGGGAAAAGATACACCGTGCAAATATTAATCAAAAGAGGAGTGCCCGTATTAAATATCAGATAAAATAAATTTCAGAGCAAACAAAGAGGGACGTTAATAATGATAAAAGGATCAGTCCACCAAGAGGACGTAATGAGCCTGAGAGTGTGCAAGCCAATTTCACCTATGATGCTCCTGCCAATAATTTCAAAGTCTGTTTTCCCAAGCTCTGTCCTGAATGTCTGATTGATGCTAAACATATCCTTTTTCTTCCTTCCTTCACCCTCTCTTTTCCCTATCACTACGCTCTCCGAGTTCCTGTTTTCTGTTAGTAATATGTGGATTGTTTTTAGCCACCCAGATTGAAATCTCAATCATTTTTATCCAATTCTGTGACTCTTCCACTCCAGTGTTTCTTCCGTAGAGCCCTCGATTCTATTCCCAGCGTGGTGACTCTACACTAGTTCAGGCTTTCATTCCACAATACCTCCTAACTGGTCTCTACTCTTTCCAGTCCAGGTTAACCATCCTAAGTCCAGCACTGAAATGGCTATCATTGCCTCCCAAACAAAACACCTTGTCCTGATTTATCAGGTTTTCTGAGCTTTGCCCACAAACTCTCACTGATCCGTTTGTTCCTGTACAACTGGATCTTACTGGTCCCTAAAAATGCCTCCATGCTTTTCCATCCTTTTGTAGTTCATTGGCCAGAATACCTTTCATCCATCTCTACTGGAAAAATACTAGCCTTTTTTCAAGGCTCTCCTCAGATACCACCTCCATTATGAAGGTGGTATTTGGGCAAGTGCTGAGCATAAAATGCCATCCTCCTCACCAAGCATAATCTCTTTTTTCCTTTAAATATTCATGAGATAGTGTACCTTTCCTATCGTACCTATATGTTCTGCCCAATTCTATTGATTTGCCTCTTTGACTTTTCTCTGCTAAATTGTAAGTTCCCAAAGACACCAATAGCATCTTCTTCATCTTTGTATCCTGCACCACCCACCCTCCACAGTGCCAAATAAAGTACACTGTGAATATTAAAGGTTTAATAAATATTTGCCGAATAATTTAAGAGCCAACCCTATCTCTTTCCACCAAAATATTCCTTCTCTCTTTCTTCATCACAGCTTTGAATTCTTACCTTACAAACCTAACATGTTAATATCAGTTAAACTCATTACTTATCCTAGAACATAAATGATTTCATGTACAGAAAAATCATTTTTTATTATGTAAAGCAAAATATACATAAATGCATTTATAGTATTTATAAGCACTGTATAAACATTATGTGTATATGACTTCTAGATGTGTGTTTCTATTTTCTATCTTTTTACCAAATAATAACATTGCTAGTAAAATTTCATAAAAATAAACATGGAAAAGTTGGATTAGGGGACTAAATACATCCTTGAAATAACTGATTTAATAACTTTATTGATCTTTTAACTATAAAATAGTTTAACCTAGCAACTTGACTAGAAAGAGATCTGAACTATTAGAAAGGATGTAATTTTGCATAGCTTGTGTGCGTGGTTTTCCTAGGTAGGTTTTCAGTGACTGTTGACCCCTCTTCAGTTGGTTTTCTCAGCTGCTTGCACTTGCTCAGACCATCTGCAACAACGTGTGCCCAGGAAAAAAACTCAATTTAGGGTACTGACCCAAGCAAAAAGTAAGGTTGAATATGCAGCACATTTTTAAAATGTGTGGTGGATTCCAAAGCCAAGATTATTTTTTATTCAACACTCTATACTATGCAGACCACTACTCCCATTCATTACTGCAATTAACTGTACACATAATTGTTTTTATTGCTAATTTTACACCAGTGAATTTCCATTTCAAGAAAAATGTTAGCATTTGTTTCTAATTAAATATTCACTGCTTATGTTTTACAGACCCGACATCAGGCTCTTCTCTAGACTGGGCTTACATCCTGAGCATCAAACACACATTTGCCTTTGAGCTCCGAGAGAAAGGCAAATTTGGTTTTCTCCTTGCAGAATCTCGGATAAAGTCAACGTGTAAAGAGACCATGCTAGCTGTCAAATTTATTGCCAAGTATATCCTCAAGCACACTTCCTAAAGAATTGCGCTCAGTTTGGAATAAGCCAATTAATCCTTCTCTGTGTCTTTCTCCACCAGAAAGTCCATCTTCAGTTATCCCTAGATGGAGCTTCCACAGCACCTGAACAGTCCCTCTCTTGCTCACTTAAGTCCTGTGTTATTTCTTTCTGCTTTTATTTATTCCCAGTAGCACCTTAACAAATATCTTTAAGTGAAAGCTTTTAACTACCTTTCTTTGCTCAAAGTAAAGTTCGAACCCAGCTCAAAGTATGATTTTGAGTATTTTGAAAGGTGATATACAGTGATCACAGGAAAGAAATGAGAACCTTCAGTTTCTCCAGAATCAGATTTTCCATGTGGCTTCATCATTCACATGCTAGTATAATAAAAATAAAACGCAATCCAAAATGCATCTTCTGTTTCTGATGAAGTATACTGTCTACATTCCTCTATTAGCATTAATAATCAAGCATTAATCCTTCTCATACAGTCTGTTATTAAGAAAGATGACCTTCAATTTTCAAAAACATATTTTGCCTACATATAAATTCTTTTAATAGGAGTGGATATTGTTTATATCTTCGCAATAGCAAAAGGATGTCCTATCAGGAAATAAAGTGGTTCATATAGAGATGAATCTCAGTGCTTTAAACAACCAGTCCTGTTCTCATCGACGTAATGTACATTAAATTCAAAACAGTTTAATTTAACCTGCCGTAATCAGAGGAAACCTCCTGCCAAAACATCTCTTGGCAGCTAGAGGCACAGCTAGGACAATCAGGTTAGCTGTGAGCTCTGCCCTCATAACAGATAGAAAAGAGGCCTGGGAATGTAGGACAAGCTGAAGAGAGAAAGCCAGGTTGACCAAGGGCAATCAGAGTAACTTAGTACGTTTATACTGTCTATAATCCCATTGTTTAAGATAGTGTTACAAAATACCTTTTCCCCAGCCTTGATTCTTCAGTGACTTCATCCTGTGACAACAGTGGTGTCTACACTCTAGAAATCCAGAACACATATGCCTGACCAGAACTTGAGGGACAAGTAGAGAGTTCCTTGACTTCCTATAAACTTAACTTCTCAGAACACTCTGCATAAAATTTTTGAGGATCCTGAAAGATCAACAAAAAATCTGGGACATTCCTCATGGATCCTTTAGGGGCCCAGAAAACAAAGAGTGCCATCAAATCTACAAGGCAATGGTGTTTCTGATAGTTATGAGGTAGGTAAAATTTTCCCATGCAAAATTATCCAGGGGTAACGAATATAAACTAACAAAATTGCTTTACAGATACAGAAGGGGAAGGTGAAAGTCAAGAAAATAAAAGAAAAACTATGGTTCTAAGATTACATTGCCACTTAGAAAAAATATAATATCTATCCATAATATTTAGCATTCAAAACCGGCTCAGAACACGGGAATGTAAATTTGTTCCATTAAACACGCCATATGGGAATTATACCCTCATTCAGACTGACTTACTCAACTGAGAGAGGACTGAAAGAAATTCTAAGCCTTAAAATTTACATAAATATTTCTAATTTCATGGGGTCTCTAGGTGGAGGAGGTGAGAGAACGAATCTCTATCGTTGAATATCGTCCTGTGTTCATTCACTATACAGTTTATAAAAGACACAGAAATTTTCCACACCATTTTATTTGAGCTATTATGCAGTTTAATATTTCTTTTCTCAACCAGAAAAATCATTTGAGTGGCTGAAAATCAAAAATCCTGACAAGACCATTCCTTATCTTAATCAAATTTCTTTTCCCTGGCATCCCAGGGTATTTTGCTTCTTTGACTTCATATGAATGGTAAAGAAAAGTGCCTACAGTAAATTTTTTTTTTTTTTTAAGGGTTGGCACCTGGGCTAACAACTGTTGCCAATTTTTTTTTTTTTCTGCTTTTTCTCCCCAAATCTCCCCTGTACACAGTTGCATATCTTAGTTGCCAGTCCTTCTGTTGTGGGATGTGGGACGCCGCCTCAACGTGGCCTGACGAGCAGTGCCATGTCCGCGCCAGGCGAACCCTGGGCCGCCGCAGCAGAGCGCGTGAACTTAACCACTCGGCCACGGAGCCGGCCCTCTACAGTAAAATTTAAAAAACTAAAACTTCCCTTTATTTCTGAGAAAGTTTGAGTACTCAGGGCTGGGATTCCTCCCTTGTCGTTTCTCATTTATCGGTGAAAGGACTTTGTACCCAGGTGACAAGTGTGCTATCTCTTACAATATTCTTGATAGTGTCTCATCAAAAAAATCTGCTAAAGCATCATTCCTTTCTTAGTTTTCTTAGTACCAAATTCACTCAAGGGACATTGTTTCATATTTTGAAAATTTATTATTTTACGGCAACGGTTTAGTGGCTGAGACACAGAGCTTCATTATATGAGGAAATGAAACATCTTATTGATTATTTTTACAAATGCAAATAAATTAGTTTCCAGTGGGCAATATGATTCCAAACTGATTGTTAAATGTCGCATCAGAGGTACCCTCCCCTCACACTAAATTCTGGATACATTCTATAACTACATATGTGCCCACTGGCTAAATAAACATTAGGCTTACTGACAAAAGTTTCTGTTTCTCATTTAAAACAAACATCTATGCCTGATTTTCATTAGATGAAAAAATAAACAAGTAATTCCCAGAGAAACTTAAAACAGAGAACAGAAAATACACAAGTTCTCTCTGTTCTCAGGTTCTTGCCTAGCAACTTGTTCTCACAAGAGTGTTTAAATTATTTTGGTCATCCCAAACGAATGAATGTTGGGCTTTCTTGAACCTGGGAAAAAATCAAAGACAAAGAAATCTTTTTGATTCCACCACGTGGTTCTCAGTACTATATAGTAAACTTTAAGTTTAATATAGAAAATGTAAATAAGAGGTTTTTTAAAAAAGAATATGCATTTGTTCCAAAAATCTACAATGAAATATGGTAATATTAAATTGATATTGATTTCCCAGGATACAAATAATACAAAGCAGCAGCAGTAAGCAATCTTAGGTGAACAGCCATTTATTTGAGCATCTATAAGAAGAATAGAGCCCAGAAACTGCTCCTGCCCTTAGCAATTGCTAGTTGCCCAATAAATTCTATTCTCCTCTCTTCCCTAGTAGTAAGTCTCCCAATTTTGAACTGGGTACATGGCCACTCAAATAAAAGCTCAATTTCCAAACCTCCCTTTCACATAGCAGTGGCTCTGCACATAGACTGTTCTGGCCAGTGAGTCCTAAGAGGAAACATGATGTGGCAAAGTCTAGGGAGCTAACTTCAAAGACCTCTGGCAGATACGCTTTGGTCCTTCTCCATCTCTCTCTTTGGCTGGAATACAGTTGTGATGATTGATGCTGAGCGATCCTCTTGGACCATAAAATGCTCTTGAGAACCGAAGGAAAAAAATATGATAGTAGGAGCCTGGGCCTCTGACAATTGGTAGAGCATTCCAGATGTGTCTTAGATGGAAATCCTTGGAGGGTGATGTAGTGTTACACAAAATCACAGGCCTAGAGATCAGGAGGTTTGGGCTAGAATCCTGAATCTACTGCTGAATAATATCCAGCAAGACACAATCACCCTCCCCCCGCCCTGCTCATCTCCAAGATTTTTGTTAGGATTTAGGGTAATAGATGCTCACCAAGGTAAGCCACTGAGCTATTTTGTTTATGTTTGGGACAAAGTATACTTATCTTAAAGAGAGTCAGCTCAGGTGGTTCCTAGTTGAGGTAGGTGTTGGGTGGTACAGAAACAATAGCCCAATTGCTGCTCTCAAGTGTGTTTCCTCCCCAAGGCCCTGCTGCAAAGGGATGCAGAGTGATGTGTGCATGTGCATATGTATATTTTCCTGCATGCAAAGTTTTCATCAGATTCTTCAATCTAAAGGTTATTGATCCTCAAAGATTTAAGCACAATGGAAGACAAAATCCGACATAATTTGAAAAAGTATTTATATACAAAAGGAAAAATTAACTCCAACTCAGGGATCTCAGAGTCTGTACAGTAATTTGCTTCTTTTTTGTTGTTGTTTGTTACTATTGTTTTTTAACAACATTCAGAAAAAAATATATAAAATGGCTATTAGATGGCTGGAAAATATAAAAAATTTCCAATTATCAAAAACAAGAAAAGTAAATATCATAAAATTTTACAAAATGATTAAAGCCTACCAATTTATGTTATAATATGTGGCCTGAATGCTTCCCTGCTCTATAGGGCCATCTATAGTATCCCCAGTTGTTCTGCCTCTGAGCTGGTGCTTGTCCAAATTTAGCACATAGAGAGAGGAGTGATGTCAGCAAGACGGCCAAATAAGACATCCCTCACTCATATCATATCCCTCCCTCAACAACAATGATTTGGCATCCATCCATGGACAAAAGTGCCTTTGTGGGAGCTGCAGGATCAAGCCCCATATGCCAAGGAATCTAGGAGGAGTCCTGCCCACCCATGCATCAAGTAATAGACATATATACTTCAGTCCCAGTTGTGGACCCTTAAGTGGCCCACAAACTGGCACCAGCCCCTCTGGTCTGGGAGCCCCTGGAAAATACTGACTTAAACAATCAACCACTTACTTTGTGGAAGTCCAGGAGTCCAGTGGAGAAGTTACAGCACACCACTAGAGCAAAAAAATCCAAGATTGGACACATTGGAGAGGGTAAGAGGAATAGTTTGACTTTACCTGCATCACTTCTCCTCCAAGGCAGCACAGTTCAGCCCAAGAGAGCCTTTCTTGGCCTGCGATTCCTCCCATGGAGGAAAGGGAGAGCATGTGAGTGAGCACCTGGCTTCCCCAGCTGAGTGGGATGCTGCCAAAGAGGCCGCTTTCTCTCACACCTCATCCAGAGTACTGAGTCATGAGCTGCATGACTAGGGAGCAGTGAGCAGCTAGGAGAACAGCAGTCAGGCCTTGGAACATATCAAAGGGACCTGGATGCTACTAACCATATCACAGACTCCATCATGAGGCTTGCCCATGAGTCATTGGGAGGCCTCACCCACAGATTCCCCCCAACTGGCCCACAAGCACTCCCAGCGTGCTGTACTCATCACACACATACTCCTACACCCCATGGCCACCTCCCTGTATGCAATCCCAATACCGATGAGAGCAAGCTTCAGCAAACAGATAGTGAGCATGTACCAAAAGCTGGCCCGAATCTGGGGGCCAAGGAGAAACCACAAGCTTGAACATTTAGCACTGCCCTTGGGGAAGCAAAAGGGAGACTATTAGCAGCCAGCCTGATGCATTAAAAGATCAAGAGAAGGCATACAAGCTTAAGAATTCTGCCACAGGTGTGGAGCAGGCATATCCACAGAGGTCTGAGAAAGCCTCAGAATTCCTAGCAGGGCTGACAGAAGATATTTCTCTCCCAATGTCAGTCAGTAAAGACTGGAGGAAGTGACCACT